ATATATATATATATATATATATAGTACTCCACCAAAAAACTTTTAGAACTAAATGCAGTAAACTTCAAGATACAAAATTATAGAAATCTATGGCATTTCTATATACTAATAACACACTATCAGAAAGGGAAATTAAAAAACCAATCCCATATACATCATAGTTATTCAACAGTACCCACCTGGCACTATACAGAGTTATTACCACATTATTGATTATATTCCCTATAGTGATCACCAAGAAGTTATCACCACGGTAAGTCCAGGTACCATCTGACACTGTACCATGCCATCACAATATTATTGAATATATTTCCTATGTTGCATATTATGTTAGGTATATTTTAATAAAAACATTTAAAAAAAAATCCCATTAACAATTGCATCAAAAAGAATAAAACACCTCCAAATAAATTTAACCAAGGAGGTGAAAGAGCTGTACTGTAAACTATATGATATGGATGATAGAAATTGAAGACAACGCAAATAAATGCAAGGATATACTGTGTGCATGAATTATTAGAATGTCATTAATTAATGTCATCAATGCAATCTCTATCAAAATACCAATGGCATTTTTACCAGGACTAGAACAAATAATCCTAAAATTTATATAGAACCACGAAAGACCCCAAATAGCCAAAGCAATATTGAGAAAGATAAATAAAGGTGGAAGTATCATACTCCCAGATTTCAAACTAAACTGCAAAACTATAGTAATCAACACAGTATGGCATTGGCAGAAAATAAGACACATAGGTCAATGGAACAAAACAAAAAGCCCAGAAATTAACCCACACTTATAAGGTCAATTAATCTATGACAAAGGAGTCAGGAATACACAATGGAGAAAAGACAGTGTCCTCAATAAACGATGATGGGAAAACTAGACAGATACATGCAAAAAGTTAAGCTAAACTACTTTCTTATACCATATGCAAAGATAAATCCAAAATGGATTACAGACTTAAAATATGATCTGAACCATAAAATTCCTAGAAGAAAAAATAGACACTAAACTTCTGACATTGGTCTCAGCAATAGTTTTTTCTATATGTTTCCTGGGGAAAGGGCAACAAAAGCAAAATTAAACCAAGAACTACATCAAATTAAAAAGCTTTTATACAGCAAAGAAAACCATCAACAAAAAGGCAACCTACTGAACGAAAGAAGATATTTGCACATGCCAAATATCACTTAGAAAAACTAGATTTAGAAAAGATCCTATAGAACATCATTATAAAAGAATTATCACATGGATTTATAAATATCAAGAATCAAGATTTGTCCTCACAGGGCCTGCC